CCACAGGTATAAGACTTAATAAAGGAAGACAGCCAACCAATTGAAAAATGGGCAATCAAGGAAATGTAAATTAAAACCAAAGTAATTGCCATTTCATACCAACAAATTGACAAAATTGAAATACATGGCAATACCAAGTGTCGGCAAAGATGTGAAATAACAGGGATACTCAGACATGGCTAGGAGATTGCAAATTGGAAGGCAATTTGACAGAATCCAGTATAATTAAAGATGTATGTATCCTATGCCTCAGTAATTATTTTCCTAGTTATATACTCTAAAGAAGTGGTTCTCTGGGTGTGGTCTCCTGACCAGTAGCCACATTATCACTTGGGAAGTTGTTAGAAATTAAAATCTCAGGACCCACCCCAAACCTATGGACTCATACACTCTAGCAGCAGCGGGCCCAGTAAGCTGTTTTAACAGCCTTTCAGGGATTCTGATGCTTGCTTAAGGTAGAGAACTGCTGCCCTAAAAAAAAATTCTTACACATGAGTGAAGACATGGTATTAGAATGTCCCTAACAGCGCTCTTTTTAAGAAACTAACATTGGGAACTTAAATACCTATCAAGACAACGATGAATAAATAACTTACAGGGTACACATTCAATGGAAATACACTGTAGAACGGAACTGAGCAGATCCATGTGGTATCTATCACTATGGACGATGATCAGAAATGCCTGCCTGGGAAAGTGAACATGAAAATGCAGTGCAATGCCACTTCTGTCACGTTTTTTACAACTTGCAAGCTACTATATACTGTTTTGGACAAAGGCTAAACTCGGGACTCCCTCTGAGGGGGAGAAGAGGAATGCAGAAAAGGGGCACAGATGCCCTCACCAGGGTTGATGCTCAAGAGCCAGGCGGTGGGTACACTGGTATTTGTGTGATTCTTTATACCTTTTCATATGTCTGGAATATTTCATAGCATGATTTTTTTTTTAAAGATCTGAGGCAAATATAAAACATTAACATGTTAAGTCTGGAAACATGGTACATTCTCTGGATATTTAAAATACTTCCCCCAATTAAAATGAAAACCAGTAATTGGTCACAATAAGTTTCAAAGCTCTAAATAAAACCTCATGGGGAGATAAACATACAAAGTTAAGATCCTAAGTTGGCAACTGTGTTTTGAGATATTTTTGATTTCTAGAATGTGTCTTGGAGTCTCTGGGTAGCACCAACGGTTAACACGTCTGGCTGCTAACTGGAGGCTCGAGTCTGCCCACCGGCACCTCAGAAGACAGTCCTGGTCACCATCTTCTGAAAAGATCAGCCTTGAAAATCTGATGGAGCACAGTTCTACTGATATACATGGGTTCACCATGAATTGGGTTGACATGATAGCACAGTCTGTTGTTAATTTAATCACTAGCCCAAACATCACCTCACTGTTTTCCCAAGATACCAGGTCCACTTTGGAACATCAGAGAGTAGAGTCAGAGTCTCTGGATACAACAGAGGGCCCTGGCTCCAGTGGATTCAACTGCTGATCTACTAGTTCAGAAGGGACCCACAGAAAGCTGAAATCAAATTTTGGCAGTCCAGAGAACAGAAAAACAGGTACAGAACAGGGCATCTCTAAGGCTATCTGTGAATAACTTAACTACATTATCAAGATACCCTCACTCCACCTGCTGACATCAGGTTGACTCCACAGAAGTAGACCATCCCATCTTCCTTCTGTGGAGTGGTTGGTGGATTCAAACTGCTAACTTTCTGGTTGGCAGTCAATGCCTTAGGCATTGCATCACCGGAGTTCTTTACCCTTCATTGCTTGTTGTTGTTGTTGTTGTTGTTATATGCCGTCGAGTCGGCCCTGACTCATAGCGATCCCTCCTTGGGTTTCCGAGGCAGTATCACTACAGAAGTAGGATTGCCCAACCTTCCTTCCGAGGAGTGGCTGGTGGGTTTGAACCACCAGCCTTCTGGTTAGCAGTCAAGTGCCTTAGCCACTATGCTACCAGAAAATGATAGCATTTCCTGAGGAAACAAGATTCATGGCAGGCAGAAGGTCAAGTCTGGTTCGGGTCCTACGAAGTCCCTAATCATGTCCTAACAGCACTTTTGCTGTGCTGGGCACTCCACAGAGCAGTTTGCTGGGGTCTGTGATGGTCTCCTTTGTTGCTAGGTACCTGGGCCCTGGCTGGCCTTCTCCACATCTGCAAGGCTCTGAGGGTCAGCCAATCCTACTATGCTGCAAAGCAGGTCACAGTGTCCTGGCACCCTTCTCTCTTAATTTTCTGACTAAAACTTTCCATGGCTTGTCCTTTTTTTTTTTTTTTTTTAAATAAAAAAAGATACTTTGGAAAGTGAGTCCAAAATTTCTGACTGAGTAGAAAGACTCCAATATTCACTGAGTAGAAAGAGTCCATGTTCACTGCCTATTTCTTTTTAATTCTTTCTTATAAAGTAAACTGCCCCATATTTGTCTGTAACAATGGAGCATCCTCCTCAAGACAGGGACGTGTGACTTGTCAGGTTGAGAAATCTAAGGCACAGCTCTGAGCAGCTCTATGGAGAAGGCCTGATTATTCTCTGTGGAGATCTAGTTGAGGACGAAAGCCAAAAACCCAAAGTCCTCCAATTTTCTTCTTCAATGTTTTTAAAACCACATGTATTTTGGCAATATGCACCTAATGCCATTTTTTTTTTTTTTAACTTTAAAAAAGAAAAAAGTGAGTCCAACACTTTTTGAAATGAAGAGAATCATTCCAGAGATTTGCTCAAAAGTACAGTTTACTTACTTGGTATCTACTGATACCTGTTATACAGTATTTGCTGAGCTCTTTGCTAGGCCCCCAAGGACCCTGCACCATACACCTAGCCCCAACTCTAAGGGCCTCACCCTGCACAGAGAGGCTTTTCTGCCCACTGATGCACTCCTAACTGCCCTGCCGTCCCACTTGGCCCTGCGGGCATGTGTCTCCCTACTGTAAAGGAGCTTTGTAAGAGGGATTTCGATTCCTCTTTATTTCCTCTGGGCCTAAAAGCATGCTAAGCACAGACCCAGAAGGGCTCAGTGATTATGTTAAACTGAACTGGATAAGAACAGAGTTCACTGTTCAGCAGTAAGAGTTTCCACTGCTGTTCTCTTCATCATCCACCACCATGCAACCTGCTGCCATCCCTCATTATGCTGACATCTTCTGTGTGGCCAGGGTTACCGTGTCCTGCACAGAACAGGACATTGGTCCCTGGAGCAAATCCCTGCACTTCTAGTCAGAGGAGCTACGGAAAGCCACTTCTGGGTGTCTCACACCAAACCATGACTGACGTGGAATCTGCCCTGAGAAAACATGTAGCTGCTCCACTGAAGACAAGTTCTGTATCAGTAGGGTACGAAAGGGGAAGCTGAGTATGTGGAGGTGACTACCTGCTGAAGGATGAAGGGAATGACCCCGAGAGCTGGTCATGTGTACCCAAATGGTGCATTCTGAGGCAATTCAGGTACTACTTTTGATCTTTTATCCCTACATTATTTTTCTTCCTCATTCTTGGGTTTCTTTAAGCTGTCCTGGGAGGAGGCAGAGGATGACCATAAAAGAACAGAATAAAGGAAACAGATAAAATGAGCAGTGTGGGGAGAAACAAGACAGCGAGAGCAAAGATCAGGGCCAGGCAAGTCAGGGAAAAGGGTAAAGGTGGAGTACAGTGAGATTTGGGGGGTGCAGTCCAGGAGCGATGAGAGGAACCCTGGGTGCGCAGTGGTTAAGTGCTTGGCTGCTAACTGAAAGGTCAGCAGTTTGAACCCACCAGCCTCTCCACAGCAGAAAGATGTGGCATCTGCTCCCATAAAGATTACAGTCTTGGAAACCCTATGGGGCAGTTCTACTCTGTCCTACAGGGTCACTATGAGTCGGAATCCACATGGGCAGTGGGTTGTGTTCTTTTGGTTTGGAAGGAGTGATGAAGAACCTAAGGAAGATGGCAAGGCAAGGAAAATGGGGATACTCTGGACATTTCACCACATTCGTGAGACTGATTGGTGAAGCAGCCACACCGGGCAGGCACTGCAGCCAGGAAGGGCCCACTGCCTCCATCCAGCCTCAGGAATGTGTAAGCTGCCCAGCAACCACTTCCTATCCCCACTGCCAACTGAACCAGGTCTTCAGAAGGACAGGCTGGATGGAAGGAGCCCAAGACTCTGATTTCTCCTTACTCCATTCTAGGGGAAAAGTCAGAGATGCTGACAGATGTTTACGTATTTGATGCTCATGACAGCACCATGTACAGAGGTAAAGAATCCAAATGTCCCCCTAAGGGACTGGCTAAATCACTTAGGTTACATCCTGATGGCAAACAGCCAGCCTTTAAGGCATACACTTTTAAAGACTTCTTAATAAGATAGGACGGGGAAAACCTTCATACAGTATTAAGAAAAGTTAGATACAAAGCCATATATAGATGTAGTTTGATGCCAATTACATAAACGCAGTCTCTCCCACACCCACACAAAGACGGGAAAGAGCTATACTGGAACAGTATAGTGATTACTTCTGTGTTGTGGAATTACGGGTTCTTTTGTCTTTTTAACTTTTTAAAAAACATGCTCCAAGTTTTCCATAAGCGTAATTTGTATTTGTAATTCTAAAAGATGTTCTTAAAAATATCTTCAAGTGTACCCTAGAGCTATAGGAAAAGGCAAAACAAGAACAAGACAAATACGGTGCGATGTCTATTTTGATTTCTGGAGTCTAGTAACAGACCTGATAAGGAGCTCTGGTGGTGTAGTGGCTAAGGCATTTGGCTGTTAACCAAAAGGTCAAGTGCTTCAAACCCAGCAGCTGCTCCATGGGAGGAAGATGAGGCAATCTACTTCTGTAAAGAGTTACAGCCTTGGAAACCCAATGGGGGTCACTATGAGTTGGAATCGACTCAATGGCAGCGAGTTTGGTTTTCTGTTTTGGAGTAACAGGCCCTAGGATGTCATCCCATGCCCCCTGTTGAACAACAGAACAGCCCACCACCCCTGCCAACCCTCTCAACTTGCCTCTTCTTTCCGCTATCTGCAGGTAGCCTGTGGAAAGGTATTGCTCCATATCCTGCTGGAAGGCCTCTTCAAAAAATTTCTGCCGCTCCTTCAGTTTCATTTGCTGAGTGTGCTCCATTTCCAGGACCTTCTGGGCGTGCTCAGCATCTAGTTCAGCTAAGGAAGCAATAACTCGGGTTAGGGTTTGAAAACAGACCGAGACAGGGGACGAGTACAAATACCTACTCACACTCACCCTCCAAACTGATAATGTCACATCTGTTTTACAAACATGGGCCGGTGTCTCAACAGCTCATATAATCCACCTCTTCTCTCACCAATGCGCTGAGCTTCTTCCAATTACCTGAGCACACCAGGTGCCTCCTCACCTGCACATCTTTGAATGTACCATTCCCTTTACCTGGAATGGCGGTTCTACCCACAGCTCCCATGGAAACAGTATAAACAGTTGTTCAGCTTTCAAAACTAACTTCTCAATCCTTCCTTCAATGGATTAAAGAAGAATCTTTTGCTTCATCCTGATGTTTCCACATCACTGAGTTCAGACTTTTGTAGCTGCCTTAAAAATTACAACAGGTGAAGATTTGGAGCTTCTGCAGAATGGTGACCATGCATGATTCATTTCATTATCTGACCACTTAGCTCAATGCCTGGCACATAATGAGCACTTAATAAACCAAGCCAATAAATGCTCATGAAAGAGTAAGTGTGGAGCCACTACGGGGCATCAGAAAGTGCCTTATAGTCTTGGCTTTGCTGTTTATTGAATTGTGCGCAACCTGGACAAGTCACTTCACCTTTCTGAGCCTCATGTTCCTTAGCTGAAAACTCAGGGGAGAAATGTTAACCCAGTGCTAACATGAAACTTTAATTATAGAATTCTCTCACATTATTTCATTTAAGTGAACAGTGGCCCCTCAAGTTAGGGCTGGCCCAGAACACCAAACAAGAACCACTACTATACACACACACACACACACACACACACACACTACCTTAACTTTGTCATTCAAACCAGAACCCCAATTACCAATTGGTCAACACTTTCTAGTGGCTTAACCTTCCTTCAGAGCATGCAGAGAAAATATAAAAAAAAAAAGTCAGGGTCAGGCATATAGGTCAAGGGTTATTTGCTTTTAAATCGTAAACCCTTTATATTTAAATAAAGAGATTGTAGTCTGTTCACATGGTGTGGCAAACACTTCTGTTGTATATACCCTGTTTGGTCCCCAGGACTGTTAATGTGACAGTATAATCATATTAACTTTTGGTCCCTGCATTATAAATAAGCTTATATCTTTTGTAAAAGATCGGGTTAATACTGTACAACTTATAGTTCTGAAGCAGCAATATCACCCTTTATCTCCTGTAATACAACAGGATGATTCCTCGTGTATATACCAAGAAAAGGGGGAAATGTGAGTCAATCTGAAGCCAGAATTCTGGTAGCCTCTGGGAAAATCTTTAACCAGAAACCTTTTAGTGTCAGCAATACTAACAGGACTTTTGGAATTCTAAACACTCCTTAGGGCCTTTAGCTGCCCTCCAGTCTCAGCAGGTATCAAGGAACTTCCTCCGAACTCAGCACGCCATCCGGATTCAGCACGTATCGGAGATTTGCTCGGCTCCTGAAAGTCTTCCACATACCTGAACCTTGCATCCTCCCTACATAATATTTTCCTAAATGAACTTTGAAGTCGGGGGGTTTCTTTACGTCCCCCAACATCTTAGATCACTGCCCTAAATTCCTTAGCAACAACCAATCATCTGTATCCTCTCGCCCTGGTGCTGCTCCACCCCATAATTTTCCATAAATTTGTGACTATACTGGGGCACGGGGTCTTTTGCTCAAACCACTGATCTGGTAAGGGCAAAGACCCTAACTTAAGTTAGCTAATAAACCCTCCTATTGCTTTTGCATTGTCGTGTGTTAGCATATTTCTCTCGCCGAGCAACTCCTTCATAACCTGGGCACAACAACAGCTCTGACCATCACGATGAGGGGATGTTATACAGCACAACAAAGGGAGATTATCTGGGTGAGCCTGATCTAATCAGGCTCTTAAATGGGAATGAGATTCTCCTGGAGAAAGAGATCCAAAGCATGAGAAGGATTTGACATGAAGAACATTCTCCATTGCTGGTTTTGAAGACGGAGGAGGTCATGTGGCTAGGAATGTGACAGGTGTCCAGGAAGTGAAAGCAGTTCTCAGCTAACAGGCAGCAAGAACTTCTTCAGTCTTACAACCACCAGGAACTAAGACTCTGCCCAGAACATAAATGAGCTCCAAAGAAGAATCTTCTCCAGAGCCTCCAGAAAGGAGCACAGGCTGGCCGAAACCTGGGTTTCAGCCTTGTAGGACCCTAAGCAGAGAGTCAGTCACAACTTGCCTGGACTTGGACCTTTTGAACCTAATACATTTGTGTTGTTTTAAGCTGTCAAATTTGTGATACCCCAAAATGCAGCAATATGAGATTACTCCAAATGAGCTGCCTGCTTCTTTTTAGCTAAAGAATTAAAGAGGACAATCCCAATTCTTGTTTTTAATGAGTAGTTTGGAGCACCCGTACTATGGCAGACAATGTGCTAGGCTGTGTTTGGCAGGAGGGCATGGGGTATTATTCCAGAAAACCTAATAGTCAGCAGAAAGGCTCAGCTACCTTGCTGTCCTGGGATAAACTGAGGGCCCAAAACATTAAAAAAATAATTTCACCTGAGGCAATGTTCCCTCTGGTTCATCTCCGGGGAGTGTTGACTGGTGTGGTATTAATTAAGTGATTTAAAAAACAAACCCAGCAGAACTCACAATGAGCTACAATGGTCTACAGGGCCCCACTTTTCACAACTCCCGAGTGACAATACAATCCCATTTGTTGTTGTTGTGTGCCATCAAGTTGGACCGGACTCAGAGAGACCCCTCCTTGAGTTTCCAAGGCGATATCACTACGGAAGTAGATTGCCCAACCTTCCTTCCAAGAAGTGGCTGGTGGGTTTGAACTGCCAGCCTTCTGGTTAGTAGTCAAGTGCCTTAGGCACTATGTTACCAGAGCTCCCATACAATCCTATATGCACCATATATTCTAAAAGCTCCACAGAGGAGTATACTGCTAATCCCAAATCTGCTATAGTCTCTAATACGTAAAATGTTTTGGGCATTCTTCTAGCACTCTAATCTACATATATGCAAGCAATACAAACTAATATTAAGCAAAGCCACACAAACAGGGAAGTCAGTCTTAAGGACAAGTAACGTATTATCATTACTACTCAAACTCACCACATTCCCATGCCATCCTAAATTCCTTATGGAGATGGTTTAACACAGTGGGAAGCATGGCAGGTTTGGAGTCAGTGCAGACATGGCCCTACCTACCTTACACCACTCAGCCTACCTCTGCTTTCAGCTGCAAGGATGGAGTAAAGCTCCTGGTGAGCTCACTCCTGTGCCCACAAGGTCCCATCCTCAAGGGCATACCAGTGAGCTCTATGCTTTCTGCTCAGGGTATTCTCTGAATCCCCAGGAACCCACAAGCAACTTCAGTAATGCTTCCTTTACTGACGTTTCCTCCTTTGCTCTCACATTCTCTACACTTCTTCACTCCTGCTTCTTGCAATCACCTTCCAAATAAACTACCTGCGGCAAAATTCTTGTCTTAGGCTCTGCTTTCAAGCCCAAGCTAGGAAATCTGTTACTATCTGTAACTAATGCCAGCTAAGTCTCAGTCTCCCCCACTGTGAAAGATGGGGACTAGCACCTATTTGACAAGGTTGTTGGCAGGATTAAATGAGATACCATATGGGAATCACCAGGCACACAGCAACTGGCCAACAGCTGACAGCTAATATTAATAACAGCATTATTCAAAATAAAAGACTCTTGAAAGGGAGTGATATATGACCAAGAACCAAGATTGACTAGGACACTGATGATCACACATACTCTCAGTCTCACTTAAGATACTTAAGAAGTAATCACCTCTCATTGCTCTTATAAATCTGCAAGGAATTTAGAGTGTACTCATAAGGAGGAAAAAAGAAAGTGACTCTTCAGGAAGGTCTTTTCATATTTTTCATATCAGCCACCAGTATCCATCTCAAATGGATACTCAAAACAACACAAAATTCCATTACCAGTGAAGATGGTATAATCAGTTCTAAATTGTACGTTTTAATGGTGCTAAGGATGGCATGAGATACATGAAGTAAAAAAAAAAAAAAAAAATCCATCTGCTCAACTGCTTCATTTCTGAAAGTGCATTAGAATAAGTCAACCCTAAGCATGCTTCAAATGCTTCAAACAAAGCTCAGTTAATCTCTTCTTTTAAAGTAATTCTAGATTAAGTAGCTCAAAAACAAAGAAGAATGCAGACATCATGAAATTAATGACCTTGTTTTAATGGAATTAAGATTTTTTTTATAGGTAGAGAGAGAGATCATTTGAAAACATTTTTCTTAAGATTTCAGTTCTCTCATGTTTCTGAATTACTGGTTCTATAGTGTTTTTATCTTAGAATTTCTATAACTGGGATGTGATCCAACTAGGATTTAACCACAAAGGGGAAGATGGGGTTAGGTAACTTAAAACAACTAAGTAACAACAACAATAGAAACAAAAGGAGAAATCACTGCTTTTAAGTTGTAAAACATGTCCCTCATTGCCCATTGTAGGTGGATTTCAAACTCTTAAGTATCCTATAAGAGAGCTCTGGTGGCGTAGTGTCTAAAGCATTTGACTGCTAACCAGAAGGCTGGTGGTTCAA